TTCGGATATGCGTCTTCTTTAAGAACACTGGTCTTTCAGCTGAAGTCAAACTTCAGTAAGACTTGTTCTAAAGAGGTTAGTCCATGGACAATTCTGGGATATTGCCTTAACTGAGCCTTGTATCCCAGAAAGCTAATATCCCAAGCATTGCCTTCAGTTGGCCCTGTGTTTCGGATATCCAACTTTCAGACAGTCAATCTTCAGTAAGACTTGTATCCCAGAAGCATTGCCTTCAGTTGGCCCTGTGTTTCGGATACCCATTTTGAAGAAGTAAAGAAATTGCTTATTCAACTGAAGTCATACTTCAATTTCTGGGGGGGCAAGAAGCACTCAGTGCAAGTATGTTCGGCAGAATTGAAGAAAAGAAACAGTAAAGCATTCAAAAATAAAGCAACTGAAGAGAAAAGAGCATCAGATTAATATTTCATGCTCAAAAATTGAGCTACAAGTTCAATAATTCAGTATCGGCAGCCGCCCACAAGCGGAAAATAACAGCTGCCGAAATACGTACATAAGCAAAAAAATAAAACTGCTGTACGACAAGGCAAGCTGAAGCAAAAAACAAGGCAAAAAACTCAGAAAGCGGCAAGTCTAAAGTTAAGCACATGATGAACCGCAAGATTCTGAAGACGACTGCCCGAGTTCCTATGCTTCAGCCTGAGGATCAGACTGATCAGCGTTGAGCCCATGGGCCCAGCCCAGCAGCAGAAGAAGCGGGCTTTGCACTCTGCCGAGCCTCCCTTTCCCTCTGCTCAGCTTCCAACTCCAGTCTCTCAGCTTCCTCTTCGGCTTCCTCAGCCTTAAGGATTTCAGCTTCGGCTGGAGTAGCATACTTCATGTGAGGGTCTTCGGGATTCTGGACCCACTCAGCACATTTAGACCAGTCCAGCTTCGGCTCAGCATGAAGGCAGACTCTTCGGCATACTCGGAATCCGTTTCTGAAACCCATCTCATATTCCTCTTGGGTATAGACACGGACTTTGAGTAAAGCCTCAGCATCAGCCAGCTTCTTCTGGGTCTCCTCCAAGTCTTCCTTGGATTTCTTCAGCTCATCAGCGACCTTGGAGGAGGAACCTTTCAGCTCATTCAGCTCTTGCTGAATTTGGAAAGCCTTTGTCTGAGCTTGGGCCACTTCAACTTTCTGGATCAGCAGTTGATCCTCAGCCTCTTGGAATTTAGCTCTTTGGGCTTCAGCAGCAGCAGCAGCCTCTGAGAGTTGGACGTCTTTGGCCAGGAGCAACTCTTCAGCAGCCATTCGGCTGGCTTCAAGAGCCTCTAGACGCTGCTGCACTTCAGCTTGTGCAGCAGTTCCTTCTTGAATTCGGCTCTCAACAGCAGCCTTGAATTTGGAGACGTCCACTCCCATATGCTCCTGGAGGAATTTTTCCCCTTCCATCAGTGGGGGAAAAACTTCCTTCTCCATAGCATCGCAGAAGGTTTTGAGGGCTTCAGCAGCTCTTTTCTCATACTCCTCAACCTCCTGCTGCTTCTCTTCAGCTGCTGCTTGCTTCAGCTTAGCAAGCTTTACTTCCTCTTCAGCCACCTTCTTGTCGTGCACAGCAGCGTCTACCCTATCTTGTAGGGTATCTATCAGCTCTACAGTGAGAGTCTGATTGTGCACGAACTGAAAACAGGAAGACAAAAATAAGAATAAAAAAAAATATATATATATAAATATATATATATAAAGACAAGGAAAATTACCTGCATCATCAGCAGTTGGTTAGACCTGGCAGGGTCAGGAACTGATCTGCTGGATTCGCCCATCCCAGCAGTGGCCTTCAGCGACCAGATCCTTGCCCTGTCTACTTCGGACATGCCAGCAAAATTGCCGAAGTAGGCTGCAGCTCCTTCTCGGTTTTGACCCCATATGAGGTCCCAGATGTGGTCTGGGATTGGAATTCGGGGGGCCGAGAAACCCATTTCTCCAGAATGCAGAGTCTGGAAAGAAGGGAAGGATGACGATGGAGCTTGATTAGCTTTGGTTGTCTCAGCATCATCCTTCTCAGAGGAGTCAATTACTATGACCTCCTCTTCTTCAGGGGTGAGGACGAAAGCCTCAACCTCTCTTGCGATGTCTGCCGTGAAGCCCTCAGCACTGGACATCACGGCATCCTTATTTTTGTGCTCATCAGCACTCTTCTTGATTTCTTCTTGGACCCCTCCCTTAGGTTCGGGAGTTCTCTGATCCACCTCCATCTCAGGAGGTGGCGGAGGGGTCTTTTGAGGTGATTGGGGTGTTGGCTGGGGAACCCTCGGCGATCCGTTGCCTTCCTCAGGTTCCCTTATTGCGACGCCGATGGTCATCGGCCTCTGCTGAAAGTCATGAGGGCCGATGATGGCCATCCTTCGGCGCCTTTTCAGAAGGGGCTGCTCGTCCATATCTGAGTCTGAAGACTCTTGTATTTGGTCTTCGGGACGAACAGGAGCTTTGCCTTCTCTGTGTCTGTTACTCTCTTCAGACTGTAACAGACAGGGGGGAAGAAGAATGTGAGTAAAAAAAAAAAAAAAAAAAAAAAAAAAAAAAAGAAAAAGTTGTCTGAAAGCTCACCGAGGTCTTCAGCAAAGCCTCGTCTTCTTCAGCTGCTCTAGCTGCAGCTTCGGCTTCAGCAGCTCTGGAGGACCCTTCTCCTCCTTCGCAAGCTTCGAGAACCCGTGCAACCTCTTCGGCTGTGCGGGCAGCTTCAGCTTCTTCGTTCAGCAGCTGAAACCAAGGGTCTCTCTTCTTCCACCAAGGCTTCTGCCTCTGATACAGAGCAACAGCCTCAATTTGGAAGTGGGAAGAGTCTAGATGAACTTCCCTATGCCTCGGCTCAGTGATAGACGGGGCCCGTTCAGTTACAACTCGCTCTCGGTTGACACCAAGACGAGCGTAGTTAATGCCAACGTTGGTCTCGTCCCGCTCTGAAAAAAGGAAAGGGGAAAGTTTAGCTCAGATAGATCGGCACAGCATAAAAAAGCAAAGCGAGAGAAGAAAAAGAGGTAGTTAAAAAGCCTCGGCCCCAGCCGAAGAAGCTTACCATCCTTAAACTTTCGGCTGAGGCCAACAGCTGCTAGCATGTTCTCTTGGAAAACGTAATGCGTATCGGGGAGCCAAGTCTCCGGGATATGCTGCATTCGACCACTCCCCCCCGGTTCGGCAGCTTGCCGAAGATATGTTGCTGATCCAGGTTCGGATCCGCCCCGTTATCTGCGGGGGACCTAGACTTCCCATTTCGGGATCAGGCTCAGCTAAGTACCGGGGAGCGCTGAAGACGCAAGGGTGGCCCGGATCTGTGGGTGCCCTAACCCAAATCCATTGACCTCTCCAGTCCTTGTCTGAAGAGTCGTTTGGCCACATGGTCAAGTATTGGGGCCGGGACTCAATCCGGTACCACCCAGAACCATGGCTTCCGTGCCCACTTTGAATATTTGGCACTAGCCGATGGAGCTTTTTGAAGCAGTGCAGGTTCGGCACGTACTTGAAGAACTTGCAGACCCATAAGTATGTCATCACCCTTCGGATGCTGGTGGGGGTTAGCTGACATAGAGAGATGTTGTAATGGATCAGCAAGTCTCGGACGAAAACGTCCAAAGGGAACCTCAACCCGTACTGAAGCTGTCTCGTGTACACCCCCACATACCCCGGGGGTGGACGATGGATTCTATCAGATGCCGAGGGCATTCGGCACCAATACCCATCAGCTTCAAAAATGCCGTAATGCAACTCAATTTGCTCGGCAAATCGATATTGATCGGCGTTCTCTACCCACCATGAGTAGGGGCGGTTCTTTATCATAGCCGAAGCGACTTCGGCATTCTCCCATTCTGAAAACCCAGGGAGGATATCCCAAAGGACAGCGGGAACTTCATCATCCCGTCCAGAAGCGCTCGGCTCACCCGTTCTTTGAGGAGGAGCCGAGGAAAGGGGAGTCGCCCTAATCCCTTTAGCAGGGTCAGACTCCGGCCTTTGACCATTCCAGGTCCCAATCCTGTTCCTAGGATCGGGAATCGGCCTTGCTCTTCTTGGAGCACGGGCTCTACCTCTAACTCCTCTTGCCATTGATTATTTCGAAGAGAAAAGTCGAAAGAAAAGGGGAAGGAGTTCGAATTCGAAGAAAAATAAACTGAAATCAAAGGAATTTACCTTAATCTGAAGCGAAAGTTGCCGATTTACGAGTTCGTAGTGGCAAGTCTCAGTTTCTAAGCTTAATGCTCGGGGAATTTGCGAAGTTTTGATGCGGGTTCTTGGTTTCTCTCTTGAGAATTCTGGGTTTGTGTTGGTGAATAAGTGAAGAGAATGACGCGCCTTTGTTTATATCTCCAGGTACGGGATACGAGGAGTTTGTGTTTTAATTTCTCTTAAATACCCACTAAGTAACCATTAAACACATGATCTTGCGATTAAACTGCCCATTATCCGTCCAACTTCCGCAATCATTAACCGTTGTTATCTCATTAATTACGGTTTAAATTCAAATTTTTGGATCAATTAAATCATTTACTTCCCTCCTTTTCTGAATTAAATCAAACCCGACCCGTCATCCTTCCAAATCGGGTCTGGGGGGCAAGTTGTTTGGGTCCAATTTAGTCAAAATTGGGCCTAAGCACTAAATGATCCAATTAAAAGCCCAAGGTCAAGGTTCAACTCTCCAATTGTGCAAAAGTCAAAGGTCAGCCCACAAAGCAAGCCAATTGGGCTAAAGCCCAACCTCTCCATGTATGATGAGGTATAAAAGCCATCATATTGACACATTCATAGATAGATATTCATATTCTAATTCATATACTCATTGAGACATTCGGATATATTCCACAAAAGCCTCAAGCTACAAACTCTCTTGCATAGTGTCTTCTTTTTACACATTGTACTGACTTTAGCATCGGAGGGGCCTTCCTCGGCAACACCCCCGAGGCTAGTTTACGTGTGTTTACTGTGCAGGAAACCTTCGGCCCAACATAACTTGGACCGAATCCAGTCTTCTCCATTTCAGCGGACCTTCGGCAAGGTCCCATTGTTTTCACCCGAAACAGTACATAAAGCACATGAAAACGAAGTAGTAGAAGTAGAAGAATTTCCCAATCGTCCACTCAAATCCGATCATAGAGTAAAGAAGTAGACAATACACAAAATTCACAATGGCAATGTAGATTGCCTCTATAGCGAGCTGCATGATAAGAATTAGGAAAAGAAAAATAATGTTACGAAAACTGTAAAAAAGGACCTTTTAAGAGAGCGACTTTGTGAAGAAGGACCTTTTAAGACAACTTGTGAGAAAGAACCTTATAAGTTGTGTGAGGTTGTAAAGAGGCACATTGATTAGTTTTCCGGCTACTCTGATTTTAGTGTTGCCTTTCACATGCTTAGCATATGACACTGAGAAAAGACCCCAATTACTTTTTTCCTCTCGTTTCCCCTCATGTGCCTAGCACAGGATTGTTTGAAATGGAGGGAAATATTGGGGAAAAAAGTACGAAATGGTCTTTTTTAAGTGTCATGTACTAGGAACATGATAGTCAATGTCGAAGTCACGCGTTGACTAGTCAGAAAACCAACCAGTTTTTTTTTTCACAACCTCATACAACTTATAAGAGCCTTTTTTCACAACTTTTGTCTTAAAAAAGTCCTTATTCACAAAGTCAACCTCTCCTCACAAATTTTTCTTAAAGATGTGGTCAACTTTAAACTCATTTAAATTAGGACATTTTGTGAGAAACTACCTTTTAAAGCATTTTTTTTGCGAGAAACTACCTTATAAAAAAAATGTTGTAAAAAACTACCTTATAAAAGCTAAATGTTGTAAGATACAACCCTTGGTCGGAAAGTGAGAGTTGACTTAATTTTTTCGGCGTTGACCTATTCATGTGCCGGTCACGTGACGTTTAATTCATCTTTTTCCATTTTTTCCCCTAATTTCCCCCGAACCTATCCATATAATACCCAAGATGAATTAAATGTCATGTGACCGGCACATGACTTAGTCAACCCCGGAAAAATTTAGTCAACTCTCACTTTCCGACCAAGGGTAGTATCTTACAACATTTAGCTTTTATAAGGTAGTTTATTACAACATTTTTTTTATAAGGTAGTTTCTCGCAAAAAAAGTTGCTTTAAAAGGTAGTTTCTCACAAAATGTCCTTTAAATTATAATGGGACCAATACTCGACTTTTTATTACATTGTACTCTATTGAGATATAAGAAGTACGTACTTGAGCCAATGTGAAAGGTAAAGCTGAGTACATTCTAGCTGCTTTCTCACGGTAAAACACGGCTCTCTCACTCGCAACCACGGCTTGAACATTCAAAGCGCTAGTTCCTCCGAAAAGTATTGTAGAGAACATTATCCCAAACAAGTTCATCAAATCTTGTTGTTTGGCTCTCCCCCTTCCCTCGCCGCCCTTCCCCTCCCCTCGTCGCCGCTAGCCGCGTGAGCCACGACCTCCCCTCCCCCAAAAAAACCTCCCCTAGCCCCGCAAAACCCTAGCCCCGAAAACCACCGCCCAGCCCTCCTACCACCCTCAAAACCCTAGCGGCTAGGGTTTTGAGGGTGGTGGGAGGGCTGGGCGGCGGTTTTCGGGGTCAAGGGAGATCGGGGCTAGGGTTTTGCGGGGCTAGGGGAGGTTTTTTCGGGGGACGGGAGATCGGCGAGGCTCGGGGAGGGGAGGGCGGTGGTCGGGGAGGGGCGGCGGTGGTCTGGGTAGGGGCGGCGGTGGTGATGTGGTGGTGTGAAGGTGTTTAGGGAATGGGAATGGAAATACCTAGGGGGATGGGGAATGAAGTTGGAAGGATTTGGGGTAATGGGAAGGGTAAAGGGAATGAATAAAAGTGCTAAACAAACATCAACAAAGGGAATCGGGCCAGTTGATTCTCATTCCCTTTCCTGATTACCCCCAACCAAACGGCCCCTTATTATAATGAAAACTACTCTGATCCATTGATAGAAGAAGATATATCATATTTGTCAAATTTTACATGCATGATGCTTATGATTGTCTTCAAAAAAAAAAATGCCTATGATTGATAACTTAGGCCTAATTAGTAGAAACAAATAGCTTAGTATCGATTAACCACAAAGTTCAACAACTCTAGATCGATATAAAATTAACAACTTCCTTAATATGCAAAATGCAATTAACTTTTTTTTTTTTTTTTTGAAGGAAAATGCAATTAACATTTTATCATGTATAATTTTGATTAAAGTGATTAAACATAGCAATGATCAAACAAATATTATTCTAATTATAAAGCAATATAACCAATACTTACAATTTACTTCCCTTGTTCCAGAATATAACGCCAAGTAGAGCACCAATTAGTGTTGTGGTGAAGAATCGAACAGCATTGTAAGGTGGATTCTTCCAATAAGATTTGTATTGTTTCCAAAAACATGCTTTTAGTTGAACACTGAATGGCTGCGAGTATTTGGTTGGGAATTGAAGATCCTCATCATTCGGCGAAGGATTATTTAGCTCTCTGATTATTTCTTGATTTCTCCTACCAAAATTGCATTCGTAGAACATTTATACGAGTAATTAATTGCGAGTAGTAAAGTAACAAGAAAAAAATTGATGAATGCAGCTTAAGACAACATATAAAAAGTGCTAAAAGTTCTTCTAAAAAAAATAATAATAAATAGTGGTAAAAGTGATACTAATAAATGAAACAAAATATTGAATATAAATATTGAAATGTGATTATGTCATGTATTTCAAATTTAATACGAAGTACTAATAAATCACATACTGATAAAGGTGAGAGTTGAGATAAATATCTGCAAAATCCAAACCCATTTGAGACTCTGATTGAGGACTTGTAATGTCAAGCATCCATGTAGCAGGATTGTAACCATCTTTTATTTTCGGAACCCCATAAATGCCCTTCAATGAAAGAGACCGTTTTATAAGTGTTTTGCTTAAAAGGGAGCAAAAAATTTTGTTACGTATGAACAAAACTAAAAAAATAATGAACGAGTCAAAATGTTGCAAAAAGGGAATTTTGACAATTACCACCTTCTGTTATGTCCATTTTAGCAATTACCACCTTCTATTTTTTTTTAAAAAATTACCACCTACTTTCAAAAACATCAAAAGTTAAAATGACGTCATGTGGTAACTTTTGATGTTTTTGAAAATAGAAGGTGATAATTTTCAAATAAAAAAATAGAAGGTGGTAATTGCTAAAATGGACTAAACAAAAAGTGGTAATTGTCAAAATTTCCTTTTTTTAATCCACTTTTTCTTCCCAAATATTATAGCCTACCTCAAAATATTCAATAAGCTTTGAGGAGTGGTCACCAAGGGGTCCAGCATATATTAGACGCCCTCCTCTCTTCATCAATAGAAGCTGTAAAGTGCAAAACAATAATGAATATATAGTATATTTATTTCGGCATTAATATTTACTAGTTAAGCCTTCGAAAAATTGTACTAGTCTTGATTTGTATAAATATGATGTATTCAATAAAATAAGTTCCATTCAATATTTTAAGTTCAAACTTTATGTAACAAATATGCTATACAATAAAAATCAATTTAAATTGATAAAAACTTATAAAGAGAACTTGATATAATGTTATACTAAAGAAAAAACATATAAATTTTAATTACCTCATCAAAAGCCTCAAATATATCTATGCTCGGCTGATGAATTGTACATACAACAGTTCTACCATTATTTACAACATTTCTCATTGTACGCATGACAATAGCAGCAGCTCTAGCATCAAGTCCGGATGTTGGCTCATCCATGAACACAATCGATGGGTTCGCAACTAGCTCTACCGCAATGGTTAATCTCTTTCTTTGTTCGGTTGAAAGCCCACTTATCCTTGGAAGACCAACAATAGCATCCTTTAGTGGTTGAAGCTCAACTAATCTCATTACTTCTTCAATAAACATCTATTGATTCAGAACAATAAAAACAAGAAAAATTTGTCAAAAAGGTCCTATTTAAGTAGTCGCCTTCGTAAGAAAGATCCTTGTACAAAAAAATATGGTAAGAAGGTCTTTATATCTCATTTAGGTTGTTAGGAGGGACTTTTGGCCAGATTTTGGCGACTCAATTTTATCTAATCTAATAATGTTGTGCACAAAAATTACATATGTAAATATCAAAATCAAATAAAGCACGCAACAAACCTTTCGTGTATTTAGGTCGATATTTGAAGAAAGACGGAGCCAAGTAGAGAATACAAGAGATTCATAAACAGTTAAACATGGTGAATGGATGGCGTTTTGTTCACAATAACCACATATCCTTGCAAATGTCTCTTGATTCTTAGGATAACCTGATACAGTGATGCTACCTTCAATATATCCGCTAGTCTTTTTTCCAGCCAACACGTCTAATAGTGTTGTCTTTCCGGCACCAGTGATACCCAATAGCGCGGTCAATACACCAGGGCGGAAAGCACCACTCACATCTTGTAATAGTTGCAGTCGATACCCTTCATTATCATAACCTCGACCTTTCATTTCCTGTAGTTAAGAATTCAAAATTTTAATGACCTATTTTCACCTGAAAATCATTTCATCACATATTTTTTTCATTACAGCTTTTACCATACATACCAAAGAATTAAAGCACCTATTAAGGAAGGATTTAACAATAACTTTTTGAAAAGTGACTTCCCAAGCCTTATTATGTGGCATGGTTTAATTGGGTGTAATTTTCCATGTAATCTTTGACTTTCAAAGCATATTTTAACTACTGGCATGGTTTAATTGAGATTCATAAACAATGACCTAAAGTAGTCACTTCTCAAATAAATTTTAATTAAAATATGCTTTGAAAAAGTCAAAACTACACAAAAGAAAATGTTTGGAAGATAGAAATTTACAGTTGGTCCATCAACGTAATAGTTGATGTGGTTGAATGTTAACGAAAGATGCTGGAAAGGCAAGTACATTCCTTTGGTAGCGGTCTCTATAGTAGGATTGGTACATCTAGATGAATGACTTGATACGACGAAATTTGTGCTTTGAAGTTCCTCATCATTTTTCTTTTGGCGTTTATCTGCATCTTTAGCTAAGGCTTTTGAACCACTAAAAGCTGAAAAATCAAATAGCATAAATAAAAACAAAATCACATACGTAATTTGTCAAATAATTTGTGAAATTTAAGGCCAAATGAAAAAATGAGACATGAATCACGTACGATTTAAGAATGTTAATGATAGGATGTATAAAATGTTGTTGATAAGAGTAAACCCAAGCAATGCTCCGATACTTATCCAAAACCAATATTGATGATTCGAAAGGCCTCTTGATGCAAGAATGACATTACCAATGGTTGTTCCATTAATCCTAGGATCTGTATTAGGCTATAACAACACAAAACATTTTTAGCAACCGAAACATTATTAGACATAGATTTCTAGGAGGGGGAAGTATAGGGAGGAGAGATCAAGAACTTACATTACTCCATCTGTTGTCAAGAAATTCGTTACTGATTAAAACTTGTTGTCCGTACATCATAGGTGAAAGGTAGTAAGCCCATATTATCCATTGACCAACATCCCCTACATGTGTGGAAATATCCATAATTTATACGAAATTACTTGACCAAAACCATATTAACATAAAAATTAAGGACTTTACAATTGAATTTTTATTAGCTATCAATCGGTAAGTTTAAAACATACCTTTTGCAATGATAAAACCACTAAGGACGAAAGCAAATATCAATACAATCGTGCCAATTGTGTTAGCAATAACTAGTGTTCTCCCCAAAGCACTAAGAAATCTAAAGATTGACATAGCCATTTGATGGATACAGAAGAAACCAAGCCATTGACAGAAAAACCTGATAACACAAATCATAATTTTCATGGAAGTTTTAGTGAGATTGGTCATAAAACAAAAAGATATATAATGATTGATAAAAAAAAAAAAAAAACTATCGCGCCTAAATTCATATACGTTTTCTAATGTACACATGATTTGATGAATAGCGAGGAATTACCTAGTGGGAGCCGGAGCATAACCAATGGTATAATATGTAAGAATAGTCCATAATCCGGATTCGATGAAGGATGCAGGGATACTAAGGATCCAAACAGGTAGGCCATAAGCCCAAGCAGGGTAAAACAATAGATCTCTTTGTTTATAAAACACCGGAAGTCCCAAAATTGTTAAAGTACATTCTGCCATTCCATTCAACACAATATTTGTAAGACTGAAAAATATAGCTCCTATATATTTCTCACCATCGGCCACTGTTTCGTGGTGCATTTTGGTCCTAAAGAATGCACTCATTGTAGCCAAAGACATAATCATAACTTGGACATTTTTAAAGATGTAGAGGATTATATTTCGCTTCATTAGTAACCATTCTCTCAAAAAGCATGCCTTAATGAGTTCTTTATTTGAGATGGCATGCTTTTCTTTTACCAAGGCTAAAGGGTGAGCATTAGATCTTTGGTATGGTATCTTAAGACTCGATGATAACTCTTGCCCAACATGGAAAGATTGGAAAGCCTCTACAAATTCGGAAACTGGAATATATTTGTATGTTTGATCCTTGAACCAGTATTGTTGTTGGTCTTTTTTTGAGGTAACTTCTTGAAGAAAATCCGCCACTCCTTTTCTTTTTGGGCATTTGAAGCCGACATATTCAAAGAAATCAAGGACATGGTGACGCGGCCCTTGATAAACTATTTGGCCATCCGAGAGGAGAATAACATCATCAAAAAGTTCAAATAATTCAGGACTAGGTTGTAACAAAGAGATGACTACTGTCATGTCCATTATATGAACCATTTCGCTTATATACTTGCATATTCGAAAAGCCGTTGAGCTATCTAATCCGGTTGATATTTCATCCATTAACAATACTTTTGCTGGTCCTGCCAACATTTCACCTACATAATAACGAAAATCATACAAAAGATCATAGGTTGAAGTTCATATTATTTGCCAAAAAGGATTATTATTTGTGATACATAAAATATTCACGTTACAAATGATAAGAAATAAAGATAGTATTTAAAAAAGTCTTTTTCTCTTTAAACGAAATTTATTACCAATGGTAAGACGCTTCTTTTCACCACCCGAAATACCTCTTCTCATATTATCACCAACAATGGTATCAGCACAATTATCCAAGCCAAGAATCTGTCAAGTCTAATTAGTACAATAATGTTAAACTTGTTTATAATTAATAGGCTAATGAGTTAATTAGCAACTTAAAAGATCATCACCGACCTTGAGCAAATGTTCAGTGACAAGGGATGCTTCATGGCTTTTGGTAGCCACACCTTTCATCAATGCATCATTCGTAGGATCAAAGAGTAGTTCTTCCATAAGCTTATATAAAGTCCCTACTCCTAAGCATTTTCCAGAAAAGTCTAACGTCTCTCTTACTGTCATCAATCCGTGGTGAAGATCACTTTGACTAATGTATGCACAAGTCTTCTTAGGGACGAATTCGTTTAGCTCATGGCCACAATAAGTTATTTTACCAGTTACCTATTTAGAGAACGAATTTATTAATTAGAATGGAAAGTGATGTATCTAAATTGAAAGTTATTTTTTTTTTTTTGAAATTGATGCATTTAAAAAGAAGGGAGGAATAACTATATTTTGTATTATTGTTGGTTCTTGTTATTATTATAAGCTTATCACCATTCAACCCAATTAGCATCGATTATTGAAAAAGATAAATCACCTTTAAATCAGTTTGATCAAGCATTCCTGCAAGAGCTAAAAGAAATGTTGTTTTTCCTGAACTTGGAGGCCCCAAGAGTAATGTCATCCTAACAATGTGCACATCAAAAAAACAATTGCATCAATTTATATACATCTAAGATAAATTTTAATCCATTCATGTAACTTGTTTAATTTTTTGACACAAAACTTGTTTAATTTAACTCATACCACTGAATTAAAGCTTAATTCACCACATACCATCGAAAACTTTCTAATACACCATATAACCTTGAGCTTTATGAAAATGTCACAACATACCCTTTCCGTTATCTCAGTTAGTTATTAACGTTATTGTGCCACATGGCAGCTTGTAATTGGTTCTTATTATTGTTGTTGTTATTATTATTATTATTATTATTATTATTATTATTATCATTTATTTATTTAACTTAAGAAAAATATTTAATTTTTTTTAATAAAATAAAACACCATCAGTGCCCTTGCCACCGCCGCCACCAACCGACGATAATCCTGACCCAACCACTTTTCGGCTGTCTGACGACCATCCCCCTCCCCCGACGGTGACAACACCGACCCCAACCACCACCTTAGCCGGAAACTCAGCCACCACATTAGATGAAACCCCCAAACATCCCCCACATTAGACGAAATCCCCAGACATCACCTTCGCCGAGTTCAACCCCTCCCCACCTTTCCACCTTAGCTGAAACCCAACCCAAAAACCCCTTCGTCGGCAGCCCAAACCCTCTCTCACAAGTCGTCGCCGCCCAACTTGCCAAAAACCACCACCACGAAACTTCAAAACACCGAAATCGAAACCATAGATAGATTTTGGTTTTAGGGTTTCGGCATTCGTGGTGGTTCAATGGGTTAGAGATGGCATTGGGACGAGGCAAATTCATTTTCCGACGCCGGGGTAGGAGCTTCGGCGGTCGCTCGGTGTTTAGGGGAGTGTTTTTCAAGGTGATGCTAGAACGGTGGTTAAGGTTGGGGGTTTTCGAGGAAGATGCGAGCAGTCGGGCACGACAATTCAGGGAAGGGAAGGAGCGCCGGCGAAGGTCCTGATCGGATTCCATATCGACAAGGGGGTTCCGGTCTTCCTTGCTGGCAGGGGGTATCGTTGGTGGTGGCTGGCTGGGAGAACGTTGGTGGCGGCTGTTTTTTTTCTTTTTTCGATATTTAATTAAATAATTATTTTAAAATTAAATTATTTAGAATGGAACAAATCACTAGCTGCCACGGCATTATTAACCTTAATGACTAACGGCGTTAACGTTCGTTACTCATTAATGGCATGTTGTGGCATTTTTTTAAAGTTTGCTAGTATATGATATATTACAAAATTTTCGATGGTATATGGTCAATTAAGCTTTAACTTAATGGTATTTGGTGAAAAATCCGCAAAAAAAATAATAAATAAATAAAAAAGAAAAAAAATAATAAAAAAAATAAAATTCTATATGATTTACTTATATAGAAAACAATACATTACCTAAAATCTTATTAGGATAGGGCAATGTATATTTTCCTAATAAAAAGTTATTACAAGTATAATTGAAACTAATACTCCGTATTCTTGTAAAAAAAAAAAAAAAAAAAAAAAAAAAAAAAAAAAAAAAAAAAGGAAATTCTCTTTGGTAACACCATACTTTTAAGTTTTCTCAGTGGTAAATTGCAAAAAAACTTATTATATCTGGTAAACTCAAATTTTTATATTAAGCTAACTATAACATTAATGATTAATTTTAACTAAATATTTAACAATAGTTAGGTTTTTTTAACATTTAAATGATTTTAAAAAAAAAATAAAATTATTTTATTTTAAATATTAAAAATGAAAAATAACCCAGCCCCCTTCCCCGACCTGCATCCCACCACCCATCACCATCGTCGGTGCCCAATCCCCTGCCCCAACCTACGCCGCCGCCCAGCCACTAGCCTCGTCGGCGTGTCTCCTAGCACGCTGCGCCTCAACCCCTTCCCTGAAACCCAAATCCCTTCCCCCCCCCCCCCGAAAACCCATAGAAACCACCCCTGAAACTCATTTCCGTTTCCCTGAAAACCCTAGAAACAAACTCCGAAATTCCCTAATCGTCCATTACACCACCATAAAAAACCATAATCAGCCCTTCCTCCACCTTCAAGACTCTTGCCGCTGATTTTTAGAACCATGGCCATTGAAAACTCGAAGCATCAGCGTTCTGAAACCCTAACTCCTAAAGTCGCTGATTTGAGTCGTGGGCTTCGGTTCGGTCTGGGCGGAGAAGAGAGATGTGTGATTGCGGAGGAAGGAGGAGAAAGAGAGGGAGGTTGCGGTGGCTGATGGGAGGAGATTGCTCGGTCAGAGGTAAGAGAGGAAGAGTCGTGGCGGTGGTTTTCGATGGTGGGGATGAGCGACTAGTGATTTTTGAGGGTGGGGGATGGAAGTGTTTCAGGGTTTTCGAGGAAGGGGAAGGGTGTGGGATGGTCGCCGGCGTTAAGGGATTTGGGTGCCGGCACCGGTGGGTGGGGTCGGGAATGAAGTGCGGTGGCATTGGCCGATGGGAGGGGGATGTGGTTGGCTGGGACACCGATTGGTGGGGTTGGGTTTTTTTTTTTAAATATAACTTATTTAATTATTTAAAAAAAATATAAAAACTAACTATGGTTAATGAGTTTAAATTAAAATAAGTATTATCTTTGGTAATCAAAACTTAGGTTTACTAAAGATAATAAATTTTTTTGTAATTTACCACTCAGAAAAGTAAAAAGTATGGTGTTACCAAAAAAAATTTCCCTAAATAAATAAATAAATAAAAATATTCCTTATAAGATTAAATATATTTTTTCAATTAAGATGTGTATTTACTAAATGTAAGTCAAAGTTTTGCACTTCTAAAAAATTAAGCACGCACGTACATACTCTTTAATTTGAAAGAGTCAAACTATGAAGTAAATGATGATATATACCGAGAGGGTCTAATAATGCCATTGACATGGTGGAGGATCTTGAGTTTTTGCTTTTGAGATGGGGACAATCGTACCTTCTTAAGAATTGCCTGCCATAAACTAAAATTCAAAATTGGCCAGAAATACAAACGTCGAACAATATTTAATTTTTTAAAATGAATATCTATAGGTCCATAAGAAAACTATATATCAATTTTTTTTTTTTAAAAAAAATTCAAATTTATATTATAGAGGATTAATTTGTTTCATAATGATATTAGTGTTTGTAAACTAGGCTTCAAAAGTACGTATATATTTGTTATATTTTTATTTAAGAGGGAAAAAGTGTTGATTCTTAACATGTTGCTTGATCTAATTTTTATATATCCCCTTTATTCTATCACTAGATTAAACTCGTGCGTTGCACGATTTAAGTAGTTTTATTAATATGGATATGAAATTATTTTGTTATCATGCATAAAAATTTAATTTTATCATTTATGTAAACATGAGTGACAATTAATTTTTAATAAAAAATGTATAGTGTAGATTAAAATAATAATTTATTCAACTAATGTGGGATACTTACATGTGGTCATAAACAATTTGTCATGTTATCAAGAGCAGGTTAAATCTTGGGACCGTTCACACAAATATTCCCCTGCCGTGGGTTAGCATATTAAACCCACCGGTGGGATTCATAAATTTGCTTCCGCTATGCAATAGTATTGCTCTTTGAAATTTCTATTTTTTTTATTTAATCTATTTTTTTGGAATAACCATGTGATATGTGGGTTATTATTGGTGTATGTGATCAATATGAATGATCATATGTGATTTGGTTAGGTTGTAGTGTTTGAGTGTGCTTCCTCCATTATTGCATCTCCATGGAGATGAAGAAAAGCCACGTTTCAGTACTACAAAACTTGCAAAAAAGACCCCCAATTAGAGACCCGTTATTTAACTAACTGGTGTGATTGATGTAAGAGATCTAATATTTATTATAACGGGTCTCTTATGTGTATTAAGAAATAAAAAAGAGAGATTGCTGACCCGTTCTCTACTTTAAGGGTCTCTTACCTTTACTCTTCTAATTGCAGTACGAGTGTACGACCCTTTTTATTTGATATTGTACTTTTTTCTTTTTATTATATGGTGTACATCATTATTTCGTTTCCCTTCAAACTCATTCACATATTCACTCTCTTCAAAACCTCCGCCCAAGCCCAACCCAAAATTGAAACCCTCATCCTCTCCTGATGAAATCGTCGTAACTTCCTCTTCCTTTCTCCATTGATTTTTTTTTTTTTTTTTTGAGAAAAAAACCCTTCTCCATTGAGAATAAAACACTGTATTTACTCTAAAGATGATAAATAAGGGCTTTTTCTCTCCCCTCAATATCCTCCCATTTTTCACAAGTTTGAGAAGTCGCCAAGTTAAACTCATAAGTTAATAGTTCTGCAAATTATGAGGAATTGTTGTTTAACTGATGACCTAACTTCCGATCAAAATTTAGGTAATCCATCTATTACGGAGTAGTGTTTTAGCTATAGTGTAGTGTATTCGTCTGACGGAATGAATGCTACATAATTAATAATTAGCTTTTTAATTTGTCTTACTTTTGTTTATCACCAAATATACGAGTAGTTACAGAACTATTATGTATATCAATTTCATTAAGCTTAACTTACTCATTTGTCTTTTGTTTTTGTCAGATTTGCTTGATTTCATCACACAAAATTTTCAAACAAAGGAGATACAAAATGGAGTATTCAAGTATTTATTGATGCAATTATAATTGTAAATTAATGTAAATTCAATTTTTGTAGCAAATTTACATTTGATTTTATTTTTTTTGTATTACATCGATTTTATTTTAATCCATAGCTATTTTCTGTGGTTGTAACTTACCATCTACTTTGTAATTCGTATGATATATCTACCTATTTTTATATCGCAATATAAACAAAATTTTCAAAATTCAAATGTCAATCTGCCAAAATGAAAAATCAAAAATATTTTTTTACAAAAATTTAGAGAACAAAGAGACCCGTTGTTTGACATAATAGGTTTGTTTGATACCACTAAACAGACCACTTATCTCAAATAACGGGTCTTTTATTCTTCTAAAATGTTAGTTTATTCTTCTAAAATGTTAATTTCATGACTTACGTAACAAACCTGTTATCACTTACAACGGGTCTCTTTGTCCTAAATAACAGACCCCTTTTGATAAACAGGTCTCTTTATCAAACAGGCCCCTGAGATAGAGACCCGTTGTGAGGCGGTCTCTAAGGCATATCTCAACGGGTCTCTTTGCCAATTTTTGTAGTAGTGTTTGGCGTATTGTTTATTATTTAAAAAATAATAATTTGCAAAAGACCACGGACACCAGCGAAGGGCCTGGCAAAGAAGATCATGGACACCAGCAAAGGGCCGTGGCAAAGAAGATTACGGACACCAGCAAAGGGCCGTGACAAAAGACCACGAACACCAGCAAAGGGCCGTGACAGAAGACCAAGGACACCGGCAAAGGGCCGTGGTAGCAAAAGTTCGTTTTTTTAAATAAAAAAATAATTTTGAAGGCAACATCAACAGAGAGGTGCAACTCGATCGACTTCAACAAAGTGCGAATTTCCAATCGTAACGTTCGTGTTACTGCCGTTACGATTGCGCGAGGGTGTTAGGAATATAAGAAAATATATTATTGTGATATATTTTCCATATAGATCTTATCCTATTATATTTAGGATAATAATATATATTAGTATTATATTTAGGATAATAATATATCTTAGTGATATTCTAAGATAGATTTATGGAAGTTTATATGATAGAGTATATATTGTGTAGGTTATCTTTTGTAGGCTATAAATATTAGCCAAGATCATCAATACAATTCAAGCTATTCTCTCATAAATAATTTGTCAATGTGGGACACTTACATGTGGTGACACTTGAGATTTATTCTTCAACAGACAATGACACGTAGGATAATTTAAGAGATGATGATGTCAGCAATATTTTGTTTTAGTAATAGTTAATAGATAGATTATTTCTCTTGTCCTACAACATTTACAGATTTCTATACATATCACTCTCTTTATCCATAATTTTCAGACATTTTTAATCAACCAAACCCTAAAAACAATTTATATATAGTCACATTAATCAACCCAACACTACTTTCTTGTTTTATAAAGAAAATTTTGACAAACACTATTCTTATAAAATCGAATTTTCATAAGAAACTTTCTTATATTAAAATATAATTAATAAGCACGTCAGCACATGGATAGTAAATTACTACCTCCGTTTTTTTTTATGTGCAACTTTTGCACTAAAAACGGTTCACGAGGCAAAAGATTGAAGGGTAAAGATTAGGAAAAGTAAGTGGGTTTAATTAAAGTAGAAGGAGAGAGAAAGTGTGGACCACACCTTAATGTTGGGAGGGAAATTTCCCCCCAAAAACCCACCGGAAAAGTAAATTGGTGGGATTTTTTGGGGTGAATTTTTTGTTTCCCCCCCTTTTATAAAAAATTGGAGGGTAAATTTTTTTCAAGCTAATTTTTAGGAGGCTATATAAACATTCATGCCCCCATAATTTTCTACCATTCAGCATTAAAGGAGGGAATAAAAGCATCCTCCATTGTCAACCAAGAATTACAATCAATATTGTTTGAAGGTGGGTGACACATTCCACCAAAAACTGAGTTTCTTCCCAAAAGATTACAAATTCTTACATAAACCGTTACGGTTAGCATAATTACACACTACAAACTATTGAAAGCTTTACAAAAACAGGGCTTCTCTGTTGTCCTTCCTCCACAGGTGGGTTTAGTGTTCATCTTCAACCCACACAACTCAGCAGGGCCCTTACTGCACCCCCTGTGCTGTAGAACAGAAATGGCAGAAAATGATGATTCTGTTTTTTTTGATATCGAACACATTCTACATGAAGAACAGATGGCAGAGTTGTGGTTTGAGGAAGAAGAAGAAATGCAGGATGCAGGCATTTGGGAGTACAACTCAGAAGATGAAATCATGGAGGGCAACCAATAAGAAGAACAACAACAGCAACAACAGGCAGACACTAATGTTCAACAAACACAAATGCAACAGCAAGCTCATGGAGGGACTCATAGTGTATGTAGAAAGCAATTAACATTGCAGCAAAGAAGGAAAATCGTAGATGCAATTTTGGTGAAAATGAACAATGGGACATTACCAAGGGGTCACATGAAGCAATTATCATCTGAATTCAATGTTCACAAATCAACAATCACAAGAATTTTCACAGACATAAAAAGGCAGCTGGCATTAGGGGACTTGATTGATGTCAGGACTAAAAAAATTGGCAAAACAGGGAGAAAGCCATTGCAAATTTCTGATGAAACTCTGCAGTCAGTCCCACTACATTTAAGGCAGACAGAAAGGAGCTATGCAGGAGCATTGAAGATCAGTCTTAGTACAGTTCACAATTTGAAGAAGAAGGGAAGGCTAAGAACACACACATGCTGCAACAAACCATTGCTTACAGCAGACCATAAGATTGCCAGACTAAGATGGGTTTTGTCACATATAAACCCAGCAACAGGGCATGAGGACCCCACATTTGTTGACATGAGGAATGTCATACACTGTGATGAGAAGTGGTTCTACTTGAACCCTGACAAAAGGAGGTTTTATCTACTGCCAAGTGAGGATGATCCCTACATGGCAGTTCAGTCAAGAAGATTCAAGCTCAAGGCAATGTTCATGGCAGTCATAGGGAAGCCATTATATGGCATAAATGGAGAACTGTTACATGATGGGAAGTATGGCATCTTCCCATTCACTGTCCAGACAGAAGCACAGAAATCAAGCAAGAAAAGACCAAGAGGGACTATGGAAACTAAGGCACTCTCGAACATAAACAGAGAAGTAATCAGAGAGATGCTAGTAACAAAGGTCATTCCAGCAATCATGTCAAAGTGGCCTGAAGGTCTGCCCAAGGATGTGGTCATCCAATGGGACAATGCAAGGCCTCACCAAGTTCCTACAGATGATGAGTTTCTGGCAGCAACAACAGCTAATAGGTTTAACATTCAATTTGTTTTTCAGCCAGCTCAGTCCCCTGATTTGAATGTCCTTGACTTAGGGCTATTTAGGTCTATACAGTCTTTGCAATATCAGTCTTTTCCTAGGGACTTAGATGAGCTGGTTGCAAAGGTGAAAGAGTCTTATGACACATTTAACCCCCAGGTTAACAAGTACATCTGGGTTACATTGCAAAAATGTATGATTAAGATACTCAAGGCTGAAGGTGGTAACAAGTACAAAATACCACATATGAACAAAAAACAGCTGGAAAACCTAGGCAATCTTCCAGATTTGGTAGAGGTTCAGAAGAAGGATGTATTGGAGGCTGTGGAGTACCTAAACACTATGTTTAGGCCAGCAAATCAAGGGACTCAAGAACTCACAGAAGATTTGGAGGTGGATGCAGATTAGGAGACTCTTTACAACAACCAGACAACACATGGACTGCCACACATAACCACTTCTCCTAGTAAGTTTTATTGGTTTTTTTGAACAATCAAGTGGTTAGGTGTATTTTGTTGATTACAATTACCCAAACAAGTCAGGCAGTCTGAAGTAATGTCATTAGATTATGATATGGTCTTTTGTAAAGTTTTATGTTCATTGCTCAAACATATTGTATTTTGTACCCACATTTTTAGTTGATTATGAATGACAAAGATAGACAATTTATGTGGGCACTAAATCCATCAGAGGGTTATAATGTTGAATACCACACATATGCACAAGGGTACCTCGACAACAACAGAAACTTGCATGTTGATGGAGCAAATCACTTGTGCATATTGAAATTCATTGGAGTCCCTTCATCATGTGGATATGGGTAAGCAAAATAGCATGTCAAAGTAGGGGACTCTTTAATAAACAAGAAACAGACGGCAACATCAGGGGATTCCTTTTAAGGGACTGACTAGGCAACAATGAACATGCACAAGACACCGGCCTCATCATTCATCAATCAAGTCCACACAGCCAACAAAGTGTACCCCAAGGAACTACAACACAATGAACATAACCAACAACCCAAGATGCAACCAGATGTACCAACACACACATGCAACCAGCAATTAATCTCCCAGATGTAACATAACCAACAACCCAACATGCTATCTCACAAAACAGCAGTAAGCAGATGTAGGGGGCTCTTTCATAAACAAGAAACATAAGGCAACATCAGGGGACTCCTTTTAAGGGACTCACTAGGCAACAATGAACATGCACAAGATCAACACAAAAATACAAATAAACCCTAACATTTAACATAATCAACAACCCAACAATAAACAACAACGAGTCAAAGTTACCCATAACAGCAAACCCTTAGCATCCAGTGGTTAGGTCAACACAACCAACAACCCATCATGAAACCACAACCAGTCAAACAATCCGGCAATAAACAGTGAAACCCTAGTTTCACTGATAGATCAACCGACACAAAAATTAGGACTCTTTTAAAATTTAAAAAATTAAAAAAAATTAGGAATAAGAATCGTTACGCAAGGGTCAGTGCTCAGCCTCCTCATCAGAGGACAGCACCACGAGGTCGGACTCCGGCAAATCAGGCAACCCGCGCATACGCCTCAGCGCCACCACCGCAGCCTTCCTGTTTCGCCGAAGCTTCAGAGGAGGCCTGGAAACCTTAGATCCGCGCTTGGGGGGGGAGGGCGCAACACTGACCTCCACAGAATCGGACTCCAGATCTACATCTTTAACCTCAAAATCAATTTTTTTTTGGGCATGGGAGTCGCCTTCACCCTCCTCGTTGTTCGTCTTCTCCGCCTCGTCGATATTTTTCAGGACTTCCCCCAAAGCTTTGAAAGTCGTCGGAGAACAGTAATTTGGGCCTTCCTCAGACTTGTAAAGGCGGCGAGGAAAATCATTGCCCCGGTTGATGTCGTTAATGAGGGACTTGATGAACTTAGCCTCACTCTGTGAATCTGTGCCAATATAGGCGTCAATAAGTGGATCTAGGTCATGTAACGGAATTGTAACGTCTGGATGCCTCTCGAAAGGGGAGGGAAAGGGGGAAGACATAATTGTGGGACTCTGAATTTTTCTGGAAAAAGGCGAAGGAAACGAAGAAGACGAAGAACATGAACCCTAGAACACGAAGAACAGGAAAAGGAAGAAACTGATCTAGGGTTCTATAGAATTCGCTAGATCAGTCTAGAAAAGGTGGAGACAAAGATAGAGTTGTGTCGGTTGGGGGGGTAAATTGGAGGGAGTACTTAGGTTAGGTTAATTTAGGTGTGTCAAATTAAGTTAGGGTTATGGGTAATGAGGGGTAAAAGTAAGATGATTACATTTTTTAAGTGGGGGTAATATAGTAAATTCAAGGGTTTTTATTTACCAAAAATGGAATGAAAAAGGAAAGTTGCACATAATAGTGAACGGACTAAAATGACAAAAGTTGCACATAAAAAAAAACGGAGGTAGTATGAGATTTTGTACTAAAGTAACGACAATCTAACCAAAGGTAGTATTTTAAATTTTCTCAAAAAAAAAAAGGTATTATTTTAAAACTTAAAGTGTTGTGAGTAGAAGTTGATTACTACGTGTAACATTTTTATAAACGGTAGCTTCACACAAAACCCTATCTAGTTATATATGATATTTTATGACATCCCCTTTTATCAATTAGTTAAACCTTAATATTTTTCACCTCCAATCAACTGAATCTTACTATCTTATTTTTCTTTAATCATCATCAAGTATGTAAAAGACAAATAATATTCTTATTTGGGGAGAAAGGAAGTATTAATATGGTCAAAAATGTGGATTGAAACTCTAATTATTATGTTACAAGATTATCATAACTAAAAAACAATAAATTTGAAACCATCAAAGTTTTTAAGTATTTACCTCCAAAAAGTTTATAGTTGCAGAAAGTAAAGTGGGCAGAGCTCTACCTCCATTAAGTACGTCACCTTCGACTGATAAATGTTCAAATTTAAGTTCAACTTTTGGTATTTCGACTGCAACCCTATACACATGATGTGTTGATTTTGATTAGCTATTTTCCCTTATCAAAAGTATCACTTTAGTAATCCACATGAATTACACTTTACAACTAGTTAGAGGTACTTCGTACTATTTATGTAGCAAAATACTTTGCAATTTAAAATCACTTCTATATAAGTGTTTGGGTCCAATTTAGTCCAATTGGGCCTAGGCATTAAATGATCCAATTAAAAGTCCAAGGTCAAGGTTCATCTCTCCAATTGTGCTAAAGTCAAAGATCAATCCTCAAGGCAAGTCAATTGGGCTAAGGGCCAACTTCTCCATGTATGCCAAGGTATAAAAGTCATCAATATTACATTTGTACATTCATTCAAGCAAAGCCTCAAGCAATTAATTCTCTTGCATAGTGTTCTCTTTCTACACACTGTACTGACTTTAGCATCAGAAGGGTCTTCCTCGGCAACACCCCCGAGGCTAGTTTACGTGTGTTTACTGTGCAGGAAACCTTCGGCCCAACATTACTTGGATCGAATCTAGTCTTCTCCACTTCATCGGACCTTCGACAAGGTCCCATTGTTTTCACCCGAAACAATAAGTATAATGTGCGCAATTCTATCACACATTTAATAATTTATATCATTAGTTTCTTGATACTTTCATGGTTACAAAATCTACATAGAAATTATATATGAAAATACTCAATAAATATACTATTTCATATATTATTTCTTATAAACAATTATACAACATAATCAGCATGAATAGTAAATGAGAAATTTTAGAAAAAAATCTTAAAAAAATGGAAAAATAAAATTTAATCATTCAAATAAAATAAAAATGAAAGGAAACTCACTGATTAATGTGGTGCCTAATATTGGTAAGGAACATCTCATGATCATTTGTATCAAGTATATTATGAAGCACTTCCTTCCACCCTTGTCTGCCATCTTCTCCCTTCCCTTTAGTAGACAAGTCACTCATATTTTTTTTAACTGACTAGAATGCTAAGAGTGATACTAGCATAAACAATACATGCTTACATATATGTTTCTTTTTTTTTTTCAAAATTTTAAATTTTAGTGCTTTGTGTGTGCGTGTGGAAATGAATTAGGTAGCACATTACTTCATTGTCTACCTTATGAATTTTGTGTTACCTAAAATGTAGATGATCAACTTTCCAACTACTCAAATCCTTTAATTGTCGTATCTAATGTATACCATTTTCGAAGCATTGGATTTAAACTCAATTCGTTTTCAAAAAATTTATGACAGGATTATGACCCAATCTAATATGATGTGGATATACAGTAATTAATGCCTTAATGGGATAAATAAATTAGTAAATATCAATGGGCCAATGGTCCAATGGGCAATTGCTGCGTTATGCACAAGGGACATGGCTTGATTGTCCATGTGGGGAAAAGCTAGATAACATTTGAACACAATCGGGGATTTTGGATTATATATTGAAATCAAACTAATTACATATACTTACAATACTCATCCCTTTACCAATTGATTGTTGGTGCAGCGGTGATTGAAACTGGGACTGCACTTGATAGGAAGGACCAGTGTGACCGTGTTTGATCCCCCGTAACAACAATTGGGAGGGGACTGAAACCTAACCACCCAGAATTGATCCCCGAATCCGAATTAGCCCAACGGTGTAAAACACCAAAAAATAAAAAGAAAAAAAAATACTCGTTCTTTTATATTTTATTACTTGCTTCACTTTCTCTTTTTTTTTTTTTTTTTTTTTTTTTGAAAACTTGCTTCACTTTCTTATACAACTATATTTTATTATTTGCTCCATTTCCGGTTGGGAAAGTCTTTAATTTCATAATATTTTATAAATTTTTCTCTCATAGTGGACTCTTAACTATTATACTTTAATACTTTCAAATTCTCTCTTCTCCCAATAATCATACGCGTCGATAATCATACTTTATTCTTTCACCAACCCCACTTTCTTCATATTCTTTTTTTTGACGGAACACTTTCTTCATATTCTATTACTTTGCACTTCTTCTATTCCTTATCTACATGCCCCTTTCTTTTTTGGAGTTTCAAAACTACATGCTTATTTTCTATTTAAAGAATGTATTTTTCAATATTCTCTCTTTTTTGATGAGTTGTCATCATTTTTCATCTATTTTTATTTTTTTGTACTTTTGACAACATTTTTCATCACTTTCTCTCTCTACCTCTTCAATAAATACCAACTACTTTTTCTTTCTCTCAATTTCTCTCTAACCCCACATGCATAATTGCATATCATGAATTTTAAGAAATTTCTAAGTTTCTTAAACCCGTAAAATATGGCAAATAGACATGTAAATAAGGGGACAAATATAGTACTATTCCTGTGTAGAAAAATGAAACAAGTAACAAAATACGGAGGGAGTAGTAGTTAGTACATTGTCTAAATATTAAAGGATATAGGAGAGAGATAATATCATGGAATATATATCTACAGTAACATATAAACAGATGAAGAGTAAATTTCACTTTTTCAAATCAAGCTTAACTTTTTTTAAAAAAAATTTGTTTTAAAATTTTTTTTTAATCCTATTTTGTTTTTTAGCATACTACAAGTAGTACTTACTTTCATATTATAAGGTATATTTAGCAATTTTAATGAACGCAAGAATTAAAAGATGGACTAGCTCTTGATATCATGGTCCACTTGACATGTCAAGTATAAATAGCATGGATTAATGGATTATAGATCTAAGACGATGTTGAGCTAGATATAATGGCCCACTTTGACAACTATGTATTATAAATTTATGATTTATGGTTCCATAACATCCTATATATTGACAACTGATATCACTTGGCTACAATTAAAAGACACGTTGAAATAGGAAAATTTGTCAACAACTATCATTTAAATTATCACTTTTGCGAACAATTACCATTTAAAACTTTTTTTTTTCAAAAAACTATCACAAAAATACAAAAACTTTGAGTAGCACTACCACATATAATTTTCCGGCAATAATTTTCGGTTAGTGGGGCCTAATTTATAAAATTTTAATCAATTGTGGTTGAAATAACTAGGGAATTCAGTGGCTAAACACAATTGTAGGTAAATTGTTTTAAAATTTGCATTATACTTGATTTAATTTCTCAATTTTATCTTAAATTAGGGTTCATAATTAAAAAATTGAATTTAGGGTTTTAAGAAATTGGGGTATATGGAGCAATTGAATCGTATTATCCAATTTAGGGTTAATGTAAGGGTCATTTTGTCAATTCATATAGGTTTTTTGGTCGAAAATTGTATAAAATGGAGCTCTCCAACCGAAGATTCTTGCTGGAAAACCAAAAGTGGTAGTACCACTCAAAGTTTTTGTGTTTTTGTGGTAATTTTTCAAATAAAAATATTTAATGGTAGTTGTTCTCAAAAGTGGTCATTTAAATGATAGTTGTTAGCAAATTTCCAAAATTATTGCCATCTATCAAGGGCATCGATCAGAAAAAGATTTGTTACACTACTACACTAGTGAAGGCGGATGTTTAGCTTTTTTTTTTCCCTTCACACGAGGGGCTAGACCCCAAAGAGAACAACTATAGAATAAACTACAGTGGAACACTTCAAGGAAGAGCCGCACCAACCTTATCATCATGTAAAATGCGTAGTACAAGCTAAAGCCAAGGTCAAAAACTGAATCAACTCTACTGTGTTGTTTTGAGCCACTCCTTGAATAACTAGCCAATCTGATGCACTATTGAAAGGCGGATGTTTAGTAAAGATAGATACTCCCCATGTCCAGTTGTTCGGCTGTTCCCAAGTGCTTGTTTGGTTGTTGTTTCTTTTAATGGCTTTTGACTTCTTTTTTTTTTTTATTTGGGCAAATATCCATTTCATATGTTTCCTAGTCCGTAAATTGGCCTTTTCTTTGACTAAAAAATCATCGTTTTCGATAAAATCCAAAAACTAGTAAGATTAGCTTTTTAAAATTGGCGTTTGACTTCTTATCTTTATAAATAATTACTTTAAAGTTCTTACTTTAGACTACGGAGTAATAGTTAATAATTAATAACTAATCAATTAATAATCATTAATCATTGATTACTAACAACTAATACTTGTAACTAATAATTACTAATTAATTTGGAATAAATAATAATTAATAATAAATATTTAATAATTAATAATTATTTTTTGAAAAATAATATTGAATAATTAATACTTAATAATTAATAACTATATGCCATTTTGCTTAGGTATAGTCAACAGCCAAAAGTTGATTTTACCAATTATATTTATATACAACCAATAGCCCGTACAAACAGAGAGAGGGATAGCCAGTACAAAACAACCAGCCAGTACAAAACAACCAGCCAGTACAGAGAGAGGGATAGCCAGTACAAACAACCAGCCATTCTGCTTAGGTTGTTAGAGTTTTCCTCCCGATTCTAGGAGATCTTAGAGATTTTCATCCTTCCCTCGTGGTTCTCTAAACAGACACACACAAAACAGCCAGTACAAACAACCACCAAAATTAAACCACCAACAGCTAACAACCAACTATCAAACAAGGCCTGAATTATAGTCTCATTTAATAATGCAAAAAACTCTTACTTAGTGTTGTTGTAGATTTTTGTGGCCCGAAGTAGAAACTAAAAAAGAGGCTCAAAATTACAAAGATTTAGGGCCTGTCATGTTCAGCTTAATTTCAATTCAGTTCATTTCAGCTCCATTTAGTTCAGTCCAATTCAGCTCCCAATTGTTGGGTTTTGATAAGTCCGACTCATCGCGAAAAATAAACCCGAGCCAAGATAAAACTCATAATTAATATAATCAAAATACGTAATTAACAAGAATTAAGGAAAGAAGAAATTACCTTTAAAGTGTGCTTCGCTCGTTCACCGAGCTCTTATTTGAGAAAGCATAAGTCTCGCAACGGGCAAATACTTCCTACGGTATCCACCCATAACACGACCCTGACTAGGTCCATTACTTGGAGGTTAGCCAAGTCCGACCAAACTACTCGAGTAATTATGAGTTTAAAGGTTTTCTCTCATGGTGGAGAAGATGCCTTTTCTAACTCTTACTCAAGTGAGTTTTTCCTTACCCTAAGCTGGGTATTTATAAGGAAACTCATGGCTGAAATCCTCTCTCCCATCAATGTGGGAGAGTTGGTAAAATCAATATTGTAGGCGTCGTTCGAAGTGCGCCTACGTTAAAGCATGTTGTGAATATGCTTGACACTCATAGGAAGTGGGAATTGACATTACGATTAGGGACAAAGCAAAGTAGGGAGCCGCCAACAAGTTTTTAAGAAACTTGTAAACCGTTCACGGATCATAAAAGGCAACCACGATAAAGGGACAACGATAGGCAACAACGATTGACCCGTGAAGGTTACACCCCATTCATAATCCATGAGATTACTAACTCCATATGGTTCGGAACCACGAAAGGAGGATCGGGGATGATGGTACGAAGTGAGTGATGGAGTCACATTCGCCCGTATTTGCCTCTACTCGATTCTTATAGTGAAAAGTGATTCCTACGATCTCAAAGACATACAAACAAAATATTCAATTTGCTCCAAAATATTATTAGGCTAAATTGGTTAAATATTAATGCAACATATAATTCGAAAATATTTGTGATCACTTGATTAAACAACAAGATTAAAAAGGAACCTAAACCGGTTGTCCAAATTATCTTATTAGGCGTGATTTTCAATTACATATTCCCTTTAAACATATAATATGGTGATCATAATAATAATAGAATAAACATTAATATTGGAAGAATTTAATAATAGCGTAAGTCAAATCAAATATAAAATAACCCTAATCATGATACTAGCAATATTAAAATAAAATAAGAGTAATTAAATTAATTAATCACTCACATTCCGCGCGTTCCTTTAAATTGCTACATGATCATGAATAAACTATTAGTAACTTCAATTAAAATATAAATCAAATTGAAACAATTAAACTAAATAAAAGTAGAGTTGATTTGGTCCAAACCCTCAGTTATTTGTACCTTTCACGCCTTGGTTTAAGGACGGAACCTCGGGTTCCTTGGAGTGCTTAGGGGAATTATTATGGAAGAATAAGGA